CGCCTCATTTGAGCCAAAGTATTGCCGGACAATAGGACCACCTCGAAAGCAATAACAATGACAGTTATGAGTTTTGTGCGATGCTGAGTCGATTCCGAGGAAAAAAGTTGAATGGAAATGAGAGTTTGCGATGCCATCCGCGGGACACGAAACAATCGAAATCAATTAATCGGGGGAAATGGAATGGTGGGGATTGATCAGAATGGTGGTGAGAAAGGTGCAACTTTATCGATGGGTAAAGACTGATGCTCTTACCTGATATTGTATGTGGATAGTCTTATATGAAAGTTAGAAAGTACTGTTTAAATCAAATTAAATATTTTCTTAAACCACACAGCATTTAAAGGAATGTTATCTACAAATTCTGCAATGCGCCATCATTCATTTACCAATCGTACCTTCCATTTAGGTCTATTTAGATCTTGAAACACTTCAACAAAATCAATGAAATTAAAAAAATAGCCAACTAAAATCATAGTGACAGAGTGAACCAACCAAATGAATGCTGATAGCAGGACAGTTTGTTGCAGTTTTTATAAAAAGAAATGGATGCGGCAGGATATTGAGTTCATTGTGGGAGAGGTCTATGGCTCATTGAGGCCAAAACAATACGATGACAGATAAGAGCTTTTTTTGTTTTTATACCCGATACTCAAAATGAGTATTGGGGTATATTAGATTTGTGGTAAAAGTGGATGTGTGTAACGTCCAGAAGGAATCGTTTCCGACCCTATAAAGTATATATATTCTTGATCAGCATCAATAGCCGAGTCGATTGAGCCCTGTCTGTCTGTCCGTCCGTCCGTCTGTCCGTCTGTCCGTCCCCTTCAGCGCCTAATGCTCAAAGACTATAAGATCTAGAGCAACGATGTTTTGGATCCAGACTTCTGTGATATGTCACTGCTTCAAAAATATTTCAAAACTTTGCCCCGCCCACTTCCGCCCCCACAAAGGGCGAAAATCTGTGGCATCCACAATTTCGACGATACGAGAAAACTAAAAACGCAGAATCGTAGAAGATGACTATATCTTCTAGAGTGCCAAATCTGAACCAGATCGTATAATTATTACAGCCAGAATCACGAAAACAATTTCACTCTTTCTCGCTCTGTCTCACTCTAACACACAGGTTTCATGGTCGGTTTTGCCAATTGCAAAATATGAGTTCAAGGATCTCAGAACCTATAAAAGCCAGAGCAACCAAATTTGGTATCCACACTCCTGTGATATCGGACCTTGACCGTTTCCTGTCCAAATTTCGCCACACCCCCTTCCGCCCCCGCAAAGGACGAAAATCTGAGGCAACCACAAATCTCAGAGACTATTAAGGCTAGAGTAACCAAATTTGGTGCACACACTCCTTTAAGATGTCACTATAAAACTTATATCTCAGAATTTCGCCCCACCCCCATCCGCCCCCACAAAGGACGAAAATCTGTTGCATCCACAATATTGCAGATTTGAGAAAACTAAAAACGCAGAATCATAGATAATGACCATATCTATTAGATTGCTGAATCTGGATCAGATCAGATCATTTTTATAGCCAAAAGGAACAAATCAATTTGCAGTGGCTACGCAGCGCCCGACGTCACGCTCAGACTGATTTTCTGTCTCTCTCGCACGCACTCTTTGTCGTGTCGTTAAATATTAGCGGCGTCTGCCGGAGGAGAGCCATACTGACTTAGTATCGGGTATAACCGTAGAGTTGCGGTGTCCGCAGCAACTCACAACGTTCCCCCTCGTTTTAGTTCCCATTTTCACCAAAAAACAAAAATTGCAATTGGGAAAAATGAATGACGAATGATATTGATATCTTTTGTAATTTAAATACTGAGAAAATGGAAATCATGACCGGAATGGAACGCCCTTTAACCAAACGCAAAATGGTAGCCCAGATTCAGGCAAGTTTTCTGGTTTCATTGAATTACATTTCGCCGCTGTCAGAGCGTGGGCTACAAATGACAAAACACACGCAGTTATTCCTGTCAGCCAGCCATCAAGTTGTCCACTAATGAACGGCGCTGCCCATAAAAAAACATCAACGGCATAGCGGAGTCGACAGCCGCGGCTATCGGGTTGCCCAAAATACAGTTCGTGCCGGCCACAAAATTGCATTTTAGTTTGTCTCGAAAATTTACGCTCTCAGTCCTACACCCCTCTGAAGCCTATTGCACTGTCTAACTGAATTTCTAGCCCCAAAGGATGAGTGGGAGGGCAGAGGGAAACATACAGTTGAATCTAGTGCGTGGAGCTGTTCTCTTTGTACTCTTGCATAAGATCTGCAAGAGTATCTAACACTTCTTCGACCCACAATTTTCTCCTAATTTTACTTCAGTTTAATTATTGTCCTAACTGTCGTCCTCAGCACTCATGGTATATTTAGTACTACAATTTGTTAAACACTTCAAGTAATTCAATGTGGGGCGCATGTCACCATTTTGTGGTCGCGATTGCTCTGTATAATTAAAACATACAATTCTACGATATATTTAAGTTTAATGTACAATTTATTTGAATTTATTTCCGTTTTACAAGTGCTTCTTGGAGAAGTTGAAAGTTTCTCTGACAGTTTGTGTGCTCCTTGAAAGAATTGTCTTGCAAATTACTTTTGCATACATTTGCTGAGGTCGAAAAAAAGTGCAGGGACAATTTACACAATTGCATGCCAAAGTTCGTTGTCAGATTTAAAAATTTGCTTAGCTATGGTAATGTTTATTTGGTCGTCTGTTACAATTACATTCAAATTGTTGTATTTTCCTTAAATTTATTTCATTTATAATCAAGATTGAGGTACGACGCCACTTTAGGTTTCTTAACATTTTATTTTGTAGTATACACAAAATGTATTTAAATCGGACACAACAAATAAAATCCCAAAAAATAAAGAAAAGTTCTAGAGTCAGGAATCGCAAAGATAAATGAAATGGCAAGACAATTGCCATTTGTGGATTGGAGTCCTTAGACTATAGGAATTTTTTTAAAGGTATCCTTTGCTCTAAAAAGAAAACTATTCTGATATGTTCTAAAAGCTTATTCCCTTTTTATCGTGAGCTGAAAGGAATAAGTTTTATAAGGAGCTTTTATATAAGAAGGCGCTTAAACAAAAAAAAATAATGAGAGTTTCGTTTATTTTTCTTTTATAAAAAAAGTAAAAGTTAAGTTAGTTTTTAAATAACGAGGATTGCTACACAAAATGTAGTTTTTTTTATGTAGAGGCAATCATAAAATCGATTCTTATTTAATAGATAATAATTTACCTGTTTTCTGCTAGAAAGAATCCCATTATACTTGTGAATAATTTATATTTTGCGGTTTTCATTTCGGACTACCACAAAATGGCGCTAAATTTGAATCAAATTTAGCGCCCAGTGAAACGCTTTATACCAAAGGCGCAGAGGCCAAAAACTTCTTCGACAGAAACAATTAGGGAGAAATAAAAATTTAATTTCAACGAGACAGGGCAATTTTTTACTCAACTCTCAAAACTTGAATTGAGTGCTTTCTCCTGCGGCTGTGTGGGGGAAACACTCAAGTTTCGACTGGGGCCCGATGGCAAACTCCTCCTGTGGCAGCTTTGACATGCATTTCGCGCCTCAAGAACGAGGGTTCAGACAGAGTCAGGCCTTTGTACATTATTAAAATTTATATACATATATATGAATAAGTAGGAAGCGGCAAAAGTTTTCCTGATATTTCCGGTGGCTGTCAGAGTGCCAGAGGACCGAAGATGGCCACAGAATGGCGACAATAATGAGGATGATGGGAAAACCAAACTCTCAGCGATGCGGAGCTCCTTGGACTGTGTGTATTTCCTGGTGTGAGAAATTGAGTGGCTACACTGGCTTTAAGCATCGGAATTTCCAACAAGTTCTCTGCACTCGACGGATTATGGACAAGTGTCTGAGTCACGACCAAAGTCCAATTCCATAATTATCATTTTTTATGACGAGTTCAAGTCAAAAGCTGACGACTTTCCTCTCCAAGGAACGGGAATACCAACCAAAAAGGGCCAAACTTTTTTTTACCAACTTGAAGACTTTTTAATGTCTTCGAGCAAAGCATTTGAAAGAGTCATAAAAAGCGTTTTATTGTCTAGACTCGACTTTCTTCTTTTTCCACAGTCAATGCCCCAGAGCATTCCGTCTCCTTTCGATTTTTGTTTAGTTTGCCTCTGACATGTCCTTTGTGTGTTGGCTGTTCATTTCTTTGATGGCCCAAAAGGCTGACAGCCGAATAAAAAAAGGCGTGCTAATAAAATTAGGGCCAATTCACCTTTCAGGCGGTGGCAGTTGCAGATAACCACGAAAATCTAATCATTGAAAAGGAAGCTCCTTCTGGCTTACCACCAAATGATTGCCTGAACCAAGTAATACCCAAGTTATTACTGAATCCTTTATCTGCTCACGCATACTTAAGCTTTTGTATCCCATGTCAAAATTAGGCTTAAAATAATTTAATTTAGTCCATTTAATTTGCTGGCAACACTGAAGGGTGTTGGTCCTAAGCTTAAGCCATTCCAGGACGTCGAGAGTGGATCAACTTTTAACCAGAGATTGCTGGTTGTCATTTGTCCTGCTTAACTCGGCATGTAACCAAAGTCATTAGGCATTGATTGGCCTTATCCAAAGGGATATGGGAGGGACAGGACCTGGTGACAAGACCAATGGCACAGGGATCAATTCGAGTTTGAGTCCCTCCTGAGGACATGTCGATAGGGCTTCAGAATCTGCCACGGCAGAGGCAATCTCACACATATTTACATTTAATCCACTTTTATTGTAGCCCTTGGAGGTCACGGCCATATGTACTCTAGGTTATTATGCTGATTGTGTTGACACACTGTGCGTCTGTTGTTTGTACTTTCGGTGCTGACCTTAGACCTTGCTACTATGTAACTATGGCAGTCGAAGAGGACGTGTGGCTTAGCGCGGCTCAGTGAGAGTTAAATGATTTGCGCGAAACGCTGGTCAGTGGCCGGGAAAAGAAGTAATGCGGAATTGGAGTGAGATCGTAGCTACTGAGTACTTCTTTAATCGCAAGGAAGAGCAATTACAAACGCTGAATAGTCTCACAAAGCAGCACGTTCTGGACTCATTGTTGGGCTATGAAAACAATAAATTTCGAAATCTTTCAGTTCAAGTGATTGGTCGGAAGAAGCTACCATCTCGGTCTCGAACGCTGTCCATCTCGGATGCTGTGACTGTTGGGGAGAGCTCAGAAACGGGATTCGGTAGATAAAGATACTTGGCGAACTTACTGGAAGAAGTGCAGCGTAATTTTTCCGATGAACAGCTATTGTTTGAACAGACGGGCAATAAGATCGAGATAGAGCTTAGGGAAATGGTCCCGATCCCTCCCACATAGTGGATAGGGGATCAAAAATAGTCTATGTGTATACCCATCACAAATCCGAAGTGTACTAGAATGTCGTAAAACACACAGAATACTTGACACTGGTTTATTAACTAAAAAACGAAAAAGGTGTAAATATGTTTAGTAAATACATGTATTAAATAGATTTACCTACATATATAGTGAGTCGCGGCTATTCCGTCTTTTTGGACCGCCTTCTCTTCGGTGGGCATACACTGCACCTAGTGTATGTCGCTCGTGGTCGAACCTATGGCAGTCGAAGAGGTGTTGATTTTATTGGTACGGCACGGTAACGTTTGCGCTGCGGCATACTTCTTGCAGACGGTAGTTCTCTGCCGCACCTTTTCTGCGCTCTGAGTGCTCTGTAAGCAATTCGAGCAGAGGACTTCAACGTCGGAGCTTTCCTGCCTGCCGCTTCTGCTCGTTGCGGCTGCTCGGCTCGCTTCGTTGATGCTCGAGTGCGCACGATATTGTCGCCAGTCAGGGGCTCGGTCCCGATATTGCTGCAGTTGAAGCGAGTACCGACGATCGGGGCTTGTAGCCCCTCCTGAATACCAGCTTTTCCTCCTTCTCGATTTAAATTTTAAATTTCAAATTTCGTTGGCGCTCAACTCCTACTCGGGTAACCGAACCCCAACAGTCTGGCAACCTTAGGTCATTTTTAGGCTGTCCGGCAGCACTGTCAGTGAAGCAACTCTGCGCGATCACCTGTCTCTGTGATCAGCTGCTAGGCGGGAAGCTCCAGTCGAAAACAGAAAGCAGAAAAGTTGTGTGAAAATTGTTTTTCTTTCGCTATCAATGTGAATATTTTTGGATATCCCGCGCGGGACGCACTGATTTGGCCCCTGCAACCTGGCGGGATGTCTGCAAGGCCGGATTTCGTACACAGTACGTACCAGTGCATCAGTAATCTGATATAAACAGCTTTCCTTCTATTTTCCAGGCATGGCACGGATTTATAACCGGAAATCTTGAAGCTCGTGTTGGACGCAACCGCATTGGAAAAAAAGCTCAAACTTCTTTGATAATCGCTCAGGTGAGTGTGAGTGTGTGTCTGTGTTGACCAAACACCTGGATAAAAGGCTCCTGCCGCCAGGTCCCAAAATAAATACAAATTACATTTTAGTTTTACACTCAGCCACAACGGCCATTGAAATCGGGGTTTGGCTTAGCGCGGAAATATCACGCGCCAAATGCGAGACTGTTTTCATCGGTCCAAATGGTCAACGACTACTGACCTGGCTTCTTATGACAAATTGATTACCCCGCGGCTAAACCGACAGCTGTCAAGTGCCGGATCGACAGAAATTATCTCAACCTTTGTGACTTTTTTCTTGAAATGTAATCAATGCAGATCGCAAGCTCTTTGGGTTCCATGGCAGTTTAAAATCAGGCGAACTGTGACTGGCCACAAAGTTTTGTATTTTACTGTAATGGAAACGGGGAAATGAAACTGGGACCCTTTAACGGCATTCAGTTGGCTGAAAAAGTGAAAGTCAAGCACATTTTCAGTGGGTTAATCAAGTGTTGTGTGGTAGGGTTCGTGTTCGGGTTCGGGTTATCCATTGAGATGAATGTCTCAGGGAAAGGCGCCCACAGTGGACGTGCAAAGCTTTCAAATTCCAAAAGGGCTGTCAATGCAATACATCAACGGTGGGGCCAAAAAGTGTGAGTCCCTAGATGAGAGTCAGTTTTCCTTCTTGTCATTAGTTGAGCCTCATTAAGAGGACTCTGTTTGCATTGTAACCCATCATCAATTTGAAGAACCCCTCAAATGTCCCGTGTTCTTCCGTGCAGTAATTATCTGCTTTTCCTCTTCTCTGAAGTTAAGCTAAACAAAATGTTCTGTTGAATCGCAACAAATATGAGCAATCAATCTGTCTGTCTGCTGCAATCAGACAGAAATCTATTTTGGCTTTTACTTCTTATTTGCTTTGTTTTGCCATTCCACTTGTTTGCTTCCTTTTGTGCACGTCGCACAGTTGAAGTTGCAAGTGGCATACGGCTATATATGGATGGATGGATATTTGACATGCAGTTAGCTTTACATTGTCTTCGTTGTGTTCCTTTTTACACTTTTTTTTCTTAGATATTCAACCTATAAGGATATAAATACTTCTGTGTCCAATTGTATTTACATTTTAATTTCACAAATATTTTTCGTATAGAAAATCAATACATATTTGCTGTCAATTGTTTATTATGCAGAATGCCAAGTACCGTATTTATTCTGCTGTGCTGGAAAAATAATGTAGCAAATATGTAACTATGCCAATACAAAAATGTGAACATTTATTGAATTAATAATCGAACTTAAACTGGATATCATAATCCAGTTAAGAGTGCTCTATCAAAACGTTTAACTAATTAAATTTATACATCATAGCTACACGAATAATTAACTATTGATTACAAACCAAATAGAGGGCTAACGCCTCCTGCAAAGCAAATCATTCCATTATTTTCACCAAATTAAACACAGATGGATAGTCAATGAGCACTTTAGCAAAGTAAAATGAAAACCTCTTAGTGGATGTGATAAATTGCTTTATTCTAATTAACTGCTCATGTGTGGCCCACATGACTAATTAAAGCCAGAAATATTTCAGAGTGAATATATGAATAAATATTTTAACGAGTTTGATTCAAATCTAATACTTGCGCTTAATTATTATGTTCCTTTTTTAAACCATCTTTTAAATAATTCGCAAGTCTTTCAGTAGAATTTTATATATTTTATAAAAGCACACAAAATAACATAATAATTTAAAGAACTCTAGTACTACTGTTCGGCTTTTAAATAATATAACTCGATTGTTTTAGGCTTATCGATTTTTACTATTTTGTTATGAAACTAGAAACGACTGAATATTTCAAAAAAATATAAAAACCTTCAGCAGACGCAGAGGGACGAAGTTTATTTGCAGAGCGCGATTTTCCAATATTTTGGCTATATTTTACATGCAACATATGGACATTGTCCCATATACATTTATTCTTTGCTTTTGTGGTGAAATTATATATACAATGTTTGATTTAGCATGAGCAAAAATTTTTTCTATTGAAGCTACAAAAATAAGTCCACTCTGTCTTTTGTTCCTCGTAAATGAACGAAATGAAAACATAATAAAATCGTGGATTTATAAAATTATTCAATCAACTAAATTTAATTAAAATGTAAAAGTTAAAATTTAATTATGATGAGCCATTATTTACACTTGAACTGTTTATAATAGAAGTGGTTTATTAATTTGTGGATTAAAGTTTATAAATATTAATTAGCTATTTATTTACTCAGAGCTCTGGTCATCCACGAATTGGGAGACTCGTCCAAACAATCCCTAGAGAACTTTTGAATGTTTTTTTGTGATTTATAACACCGAAGCCACACAACACCATATATCAAAACTTTTTGTCAGATGGCACAAGAGAAAAAAAACTCCATTTACTAATTGCAAGTTTTAATTAAAAATCGACCTTTAATGCAATGGACGAGAAAACACAGAGGAGAAGGCATGTTACCGCAGTTTGGGAAAAACCACATTGATTTTTGGCATCGTAGCAGATACAGAGACACAAAAGCAGGACCTAAAGACTGTTTCAGAGATAGGAAGCTAGGGATAGAATGGGATAGGACCCAAAGACACTTTCGCCAACACGGACAGACAATTCCTGCAAATGCAATGTCCACGGATGGGTTTGGCGTTGGCGTTGGCTCTTCCGGCTCTGCTTCTGGTCGAGACAGAGTAAACAAACGTTTCCGCTTTTGAAAAATTGCTCTCATTTTTTGGCTGAACGGCCGAGCGACCCACTGGCGCTTCCTGGCGTTGTTGTTTGTTATTGCAACCACAACCGACGACCAGCAGATAAGCAACAGTGAAAAAAACGCGTTCCTACACCCTCAGACATTCTGTTGAACTATAAATAATAGTTACACATTTTTTGTTGCCCTTTTTTCGGTCATGTTTTGCCGCAAGAACAACACAGTTCAAGTGAAAAGGTTGCCATATGCAAAAATATGGCAACGCAAAAAACAAGAGTTACGAAACAAATATTTGCATTCTTAAATTGAGGCGCATGAAATCCCAAAAAGAGTGCAATGTCTGTCCAGGTGCAATGTGGGGAACTGAGGTGGAATATAGTTTTAAATGGGAAAACTTGAAGGTGCTTTAAAGAAACACTTTTGATGTGCTGCTTGAAGAGAACGAAGTCTGGCCACCATTTTAGCGGGCTTGTATAAACATATATTTTAACATTTTTCCAACAAAGCAACTGTCCGCTAAATACATGTCATTATTTTCAATGCAAATTTATATTGAATGTAATGCCATCAAATATCCCATGTTGATGCAATTAAAAAAACATTTACGCCCATTAAAATGAAATTTTGTGGGCTTTATATAATTATGCCGCAGGGCCATTAAAGTCATTAACATTTTGACTTGGCCAGGGACCTACCAGGGCTCTCTGTAAGTAAAGCCCTCTGTATGGTACGTGGGACACGTTAGTGTGGTCAGCATACAGAAAAAGATTTCATGTTCGGTTTGGGTTTCAATTTATCCCAGTCTCAATTGCTGATGTGATTAACGTTGCCCTTTGCGCTTTTGTCTCTCTGCAAAGCTGAGCTATGCGTTAATCAAATGTCAATTACGCTGCGGATACCAAAATTGATGGCAACAGCAACAGCAGCCGCAACAGAGCAGAGGCCTGGGCTTACCGAGGATCCCGACACCCCAGAAGCCAGAGCCCAGAATTCCAGTACCGCTAAATCTTGGCGCTCGTTGGTTTTACGTTTTCAGCGTTTTTGCCTTTTTGCCCTGGGAAAATCAGTTGGCATACACAGACACAGACATAGAGGCACTGAGAGAGACAGCCACAGACACAGAGAGAGAGAGAGAGAGAGGTACATATATGTATGTAGTGCCAATCATACTCGTATCGGGAGACAGGCATCCTTTGCAGCAGTTTGTTCCTTCGCTGCCCTTATCCTTTATGCAATTTGTCTTTATGAGCCACGCTTTTTG